AATTTGTAGACAAATACTATCTTGCTGATGCTAGATATGGCATCCAAAATGGAATTATCAGTCCATATCACGGTATTTGATATCACTTGAAAAAGTTTAGTGATCACCATCCTCAAAATGAAAAACAACTTTTTAATCTTCGCCATTCTTCTTTGCAAATAACTATTGAACAAGTATTTGGAATTTTGAAAAAACATTTTTGTGTGCTAGATTCTGAACCATTTTGGAATTATGACACCCAAGTATATAAAGTTTTAGCTTGTTACATCATCCACAATCACATAATGGGAGTTGATCCTAATGATTCACTTAATCAATAATTACCTCATGGCATAGATTGTGAAAATATAAGAGTTTTTTAAACAACTCATTAAAAGAGAGAAGAAACTAGAGACTAAATGGCAAAAAGAGATGAAATTACGCATGTTACGTGGATTGATTATGGGGCTAGAGGAATGTAACTATTTTTATTTATGTTTATGAACATTAATATGTTACTAGTTTTATATTATGTATGTTTTCTATTTGTTTAAAGTTGTTATGAACATTAATGGGTTATATGAACTTTAACATATTGATTATGGATTGATTATGTATGTTTTTTACTTGATTATGTATGATTGATTATGATATTTTTTCTTATGAATGTAAATGTTATCATCATCATAGAAATGAAAAAGTCAAAGTAACTTAGATGGACAAAGCCCAAGAAACGTGCTTTACTTAAGATACTTGCTAATAAGGCTTTAAAAGGGAAACAAACCATCTAACATTTTTAAGCCATGCTCATACACTTGAGTAACTTAAGTTATAAATGAAAATTTCAATGTTGAATATGAGGCAAACCATGTGGAGAATCATTTTAAAAGTGTGAAAAACACATGGAATATTATCCAAACACTCGTTAGCAAAAGTTGATTTGGATAGGTTGACAACTTAAAAATGGTGAATACATTAAGAAAAGTTTATGATGATGAAGTGATGGTATCTTAATTTCTTTTAAAAAGATTTATATTAATATTTTGTTATTATAGACTATTTTTTTATGTTAATAATCATAAATAGGCACATCCTAAACATGAACCATTCATCAACAAGAAACTTGACATGCATCATGAAATGACTTTAGTTGTTAGGAAATATATGGCTATTGAAAGTTTCGCCAAATCTTTTGCCAATATAGATTTGGAGAAAACTATGGTTGATTTGATGTTTGTAAGATTGAAAAATGAAGTTGATCAAAAGACAATTAAATGGGAAGAAGCATAATTTTATATTAGTATTTCACAACATCGATCTCATCACGATAGAAACATTCTCAAATTGTCTAAGATGAGAAACTTGATAAAATGTCAAACAATTTTAGAGATATTGCCAATGCCATTAAAAATTCAGTGATAATCAAATTGTTTTTGTTGATCTTTACGAGGAAGTGATGAAGGTGAAAGGGTTTGATGAGGTAGCTCTTTCCTCTTTGTTTGATTATTTAGTTGAGGATAAGAAGCAAGCAAAAGCATTCATGGTGAAAAATGATAATCTTAGAAGAGTTTGGCTTCAAAATATCTTCAATAGTAGGGATAACAATTAAACTTATTTACGTAATGCTACAAAACTTATTTATGTGTGTCATAACGTCTAGATCCGAGGATCTATCGCTAGACATTGACTTAAAAGAGTCACCACCAATCTTTTTTATTTAGGTGCGATTGGCCACCTAAGGAATCTGTCCTTTCAGGGAATACCTAAGTTTAAGGGTCCCTAAAAGAATAAGTTCATGTCTACTAACCAGAATAGGATTCGAGAGTTCGGTTACGTGTGAGGAAGGTTATAGCAGCCTCACAACGCCTATCAAAAGATGGTATCAGCATAATTTTGTGTTATCCAATGAGCCTTAAAATTTTACTAAGTAATTAATTATTGGAAATTATTCTCAATTGACTCTAATACTTTTAGCAGAAATTTGAGAAAATTCTCTCACCTCAAGAGTATGCAAGAAAACTACTGTTTCACTTGTAGAGGCTCCATCGTCGATTATTTAAAAAAAATAAAAATTAAAAAAAAGAATGATTGTTCTTGTACAGAAAAAATTAATACTTTCAACTTTTTCCTAAAAATATTCTTTTGAAACTTTTATTTCAAGAAAAATTGATACTTTCAACTTTTCACCAAAAATATTTTTTGGAAACTTTGATTTTCAAGGAAAATTGATACTTTCAACTTTTCCCCAAAAATATTTTTTGAAAACTTTGATTTTCGAGGAAAATTGATACTCTCAACTTTTCCTCAAAAAATTTTTTTTGAAAATTTATTTTTAAGAAAAATTGATACTTTCAACTTTTCCCTAAAAATATTCTTTTGAAACTTTTATTTCCAGAAAAATTGATACTTTCAACTTTTCCTCAAAAATTTATTTTTTGAAAATTTATTTTTAAGGAAAATTGATATTTTTAACTTTTTCCCAAAAATATTTTTTGAAAACTTTGATTTTCGAAGAAAATTGATACTTTCAACTTTTTCTCAAAAAACAATCTTTTTTTGAAAATTTATTTTTGAGGAAAATTGATACTTTCAACTTTTTTCCAAAAATATTTTTTTGGATTTTATTTAAAGAAAATAAAATAATAAAATAAAATAAAAGTGAAAATAAAAAAAAAGAAAAGTAAAACAAAAATAAAAATAAAATAAAGATAAAAGAACATTAAATAAACCTAATATAATAATAATAATAATTAATTAATTAAAAAAAAAAACCTGGAACGGCTCGAATAAGGGCTCGGCTCGGCTCGGCTCAAGAAAGAAAAACGGCTCGGAGAAGCGACTCGGGACGTCGGTTCGGCTCGACTAACGGCTCGGGGAGGCAAAACACGCGCGGGTCAGAAAGCGGATCGAAGCTCGGGTCGGATCTCGACAAAACGCGCCGATCCTCTGGGTTATTTAACGCAAAAACGACGTCGTTTTGAGAGAGTATATAAGACTGTTTCCTTCGTTTTTCGACAGAAACCTTTTCCCCTCTCTCTCTTCCTTCCTTTTTTTCTCTTCTCTCTAAAATGACTGAAGAACTCCGGTTGAATATTCACCGGATTCTAGAATTTTTCATCGGAATCTGGGTTTTTCGCTAGAAGTTCACCGAAAAGTTGGTCGATTTCTGAGAATCTTTACCGAAAACTGGGCAGCTGACCGAAAACTTCAAACTTGACCAGAATTGTCGTCGAAAAATTAAACCTTCGTCGAAAAAATCACCGGAATCTAAAAATTTTCCAAAAATTTCCAGAAAAAAATTTCGCCAAAAATCTCCAAAAAATTTTTTTCGATTCCTACAGCTGTTCTAACACTTCTAAACCTTTTCTTAGCCTTCAAAAATTTTTTATACACCCTTTTCTCTCAATCAGTAACTTTTTCCTCACTGTTTTTCTGTGTGTTATGTTATGTGTTCTAGTACCTATTTATAGGGATTGATCAGAAGAGTTTCTGATCAATCCCTATTCCTTTTTGGATGGGGATTCAATCTTTGAATCCAATCTGAATTCTAATTGAATCCCCATTCACGGTAGGATTCTTCAAAGTCTTCAATCTCAACCCCAAAAAAAGAGAAAAAAAAATCAGATAAACGAATAAAAAGAAATTAACAGATAATTAAAAATAATAATAAGATAAATCAAAAATATTACAAGATAAATAAATAATAATAATAATAAATAATAATATAATAATAAATAAATTATAATATAATAATAAATATATAACTAGATAAATAAAATACATATATAAATATTAACAAAAATAAATAAATAAATAAATAAAGATATGCATATATTAATACATAGTAATAATAAATAAATAAATAAATAATAAATACATAAAATACAAAGAAAAAAAATAAATATAAATATAAAAAATAATATAAAATATAAAATAAAAGTCAAATTGAACTTACCCATTTGAATCAGATCCAATTGATCCAGACCTGGACCAAATTGAATGTCTACAATGTGATTGCTTTTGTTTGGCAAGTAAAACATCTTTTGTCTTATAAATGTTAATGGACATGGCTCTAACTGAGAGCGGAGGATGTTTTGTTTAGGTAAAATAGACATGGTTGTAGGTTTTTTTTTTTTTTTTTTATTTAGTAGCAATAGATATGTCTCTAACTTAATTAAGAGCGTAGAAGAATTTTGTTTAGGAATAATATTATTATATTGATAATTTATATGTGATTTTTTTTTATGAATATGATTTTGATTCCTTTATAATTTGATATACAGGATATAAGATCTTGTATTATATAATATTAGATAAAAATATTTTTTTAATGTTGAAATATGAAACTTTTACTGTTAGTAATAATAGTTTTTAAAATTTTGATGTGTTATGGTGAAAATTTTAAAGATTAACATGGTGAAAATATTTTCCACAAAGTGATCAAAACAACAGAAAATATTTTCTTTCATGTCGTCCAAACAATGAAAAATATTTGATTTTTTGAAAAATGTCTTCTACATAATATATCTTTCTTAAAAAAATCAATTTCTAGTTGTCAAACAGAATCTAAGTGATGTTATTGTACCTCTATTAAGTTTTGAATTTTTTATAATTTTATATACAAATGAAATCTCTTCGTTTAATTATGAAAATTATGTGAATTTTTTATAATTTTATATGCAAATGAAATCCCTCTATTTAATTATGAAAATTATGTGAAAATTACAATTATTATATTCCACATTCAAGACATTTTTATTATACCTCTATTAAGTTTTGAATTTTTTTATAATTTTATATGCAAATGAAATCTCTCCACTTAATTGTGAAAATTAAAATTATTATCCTCTAAATTCAAGACCAATATCTTATGTGAATGTATTTGCTCAAACTTTATAATATTAGAATTTTTTTTTTCACTAAAGGCAGCTACTAGTTTATTTCATACATATATATATATATATATATATTTATACATGGAATGAATTATAATTACAATTACAATTATTTACTTTCCCATGAAATAAGCATATTCCAATCTCAGTGAAGTCCGCAATACATTCTTGCATTCAAAATATACATGGAATGGAAGGCAAAGGCAAAACAAGCTAATTTAAAGTATATATAGTTGATGATATGGATATCCATTTGAGAATAATATTGTAGTTGCCTCTCAGTCGTCTGCCAAGAATTGTCCAGACATATTATCCGTAACAGCGAATTGCATGCTCTCAGATGGTTTCCAGTGTCGCTTTCTTTGATTTATAAACCAATTGTTGATTTGTTTCTGGTCCAGTCCCGTGCACTCAGCCAATGCTATCTTATCAGCTTCCTGAATTATGACCAGCAAAAATATGAAATCGTAATTATCTTACAAGCAGGCATAAATGTACATAACCTGCCCGCAGGAAGGGAAGAGAATTTACCGTTGGATATGGCCATTTATAGTGAACATTCCACCACTCAAGCAATGTTTGTCTTGCTTCTCTTGGTAGTTTTCCTTTCTTCTTCTTCTTTGAGAACTCCATCTTCAAGGTGCTAATGTGACTGCCAAATCTACGAATCAGCCTATCTTTCAGCCCTCCGTCTTCACTTCTCGGCTGTGCGTCTTGTGCATCTACCTCCCCACCACTAAAATCTTCGTCTGTTGATACAGCACTTCCATCTGGCCAGATATAAAACACAGCAAAGGTTTAAGTTTGGTCACCCTTATATCACATATTCGAAAAAATTCTGAAAAAAAAAAAGAAAAGCAAAGAAACATCCGACATACATTGTTTAAAGAATCAAGACTTGCGCCCTTTTTTTTAATATATATATTAGCCAATGCCAATTGCCAAGCTAGATATGCACAAAGATTACATTGCCACAACAAGATTTGCATCCCCCACCAAAACTCCACTACTACACAAACTTCAAATAAATTTCATTTCTGGGAATAGGATTCCTTGGACCGAGTAAAAGAGCTCCACATGCACCATCATATTACAACATGAAAAACATGTTTGGAAACCACTATGATCTTTTGCTTTCCAATCAATCACATTAAGAATTTAATGTAAATCTTGCCAATGAGAATGAGACTTAGATTTGTAGCAACAAAGAAAGTCCTAAAATCATCAAATTCTAAATTCAAATTCCATTGCCTATGAATTTAATTATTTAATTATATTTTAATTTGTTAATTAATTATTCAATTATCATAACTTGATTATGAGGTAATAATTAATTATTTAATTGATTATATGAATATAATTCTTAATTATTATTGTAACTTAAAAAGAATTTAATATAAAACTTAATTTTATTTCCTTATATTACAAAATTCATTCCTAGGACCATCTCACATACATCCATGAAGCTAAATATCTATAGATTTAAGATTAAGCTAGATACTCATGTCCAAAAAAAGATTGAACTAGAAACTAGATTTTATCTTTCAATATGAAGGGAGCTAAGCATGTTGCTAAAGCAATTTAAGGGTTAATACACCCTTTAATACCGTGGAGCCTTAAGCTTTGTGGCTAAATTTTATACAGCCTGTTAACCGTTATAAAAAATAAAATTAAAAAAAAACACTGTAGCGAGGCAGGAACAGTGGGGCCAGCCATAGGCTTGAATAAACTCCCAACCTCCCCCATCATAACCCAGCACTGCACACTTACAGAATTTACACCGTGTCAACGTCATGACCAAAAGGCTAATATATGACGATTTGGACAAAGAATAAGACCAGTGTCTGGTTATGTCCATTGTCAGTCACACTGAGTCCGAGTGGACATGCCAGTGCGGCTATCATATCACATAATACATTTGTCAGAAAGTGAAAGAGTGAGTGAGAGAGAAGGAAGGAAACTATTTCTATATTTTAAGACTAAATAACCCTCGTAAGATACGCTCCCCGATTATCAGTTATTATGGTGACACATTATATCGCCTTGCAAATCACTTAACCAGCTTATTGTTCCAGAATGGCCCGTCACTAGGCCTTCTGATTCTTGGTATGGTACTGGACGGTTCCGTTGGCCCCGATGCGTCAACCCATCTGCCCCCCATGTGGGTCATGGCTAATGGGACTTCTTTTCTATTATCGCTTACTAATACGAAATAAATTTACTATTTTGGAAGAAAACATCAAGGAAAACATGCACAAATCATCATTTTTCTATCACGCTCTACATTAATTTATAAGTCGGGATACATAACCCAAGTGATTGAACAAAAAGTTCCAAGTAAACATTTCTAATGTGCCCCAAAGTTATACGTTACGACTTCGATGAAAATGCAGATCTATTATATTCGGCTTTTCCTCTAATGAAAGAATACGAAAAAAATTTTTCAACACCCCTTGGGTAGCAATGGTTGGTTCCTTTATTTTTTTTGGTTCAATAAATAGGAAATAAATTATTTGGGCATTTTGAAAAAGATAATACTAGTTCTGAATCAGCAGCGTGGAAGAGACATGAGCATGGGCACCTGTGGCTGTCGTGGGGAAGGAAAACATTTCTTTTCTTCTCTTTTGATCGTGAAGGGAGTTGAATTTGTAAGCGTGCGAAGGGAGAGGACACCGGAGAAAAGCCAAAGCCAGAAAAATGAGGACCGAAAAGAAAAAAGAAGCTCTAATAAAAGAAGAAAGGGACGAAAGGAAAACGTGTGGCAGCTGGGACCTAACGTGGAGCCCAGTTCTGAGCTATCATGCAGACACGTGTGATACACATTAACAAAGGCAGAGAGCAAGACCCACCAAGGAAACAAAAATGTCTGGTGGACATGACAAGCACCAACCAGCGCAGCAGACTAGACTAGAGATGAAAATGAACAGTTGAATGAAACGTCTGACTTTTTCGATGAAAAGCCTGATGGTTTCACAGCCTAATCAGCGGGTGTCCAGGTGAAGCTCCGATCACCCGATCCAATCGGGGATTTTTCCCATAAGAAAATTGTTTGTTTCTTCACGTAACTTGCTTTGGACCCCCTAATAATTTATTATCATCTGTCCCAATCGTACCGTTGCCCCCTTTCTCACAAGTTGCACAAATTTTTTTTTTTGGGATGGTCAATGCATTGGGCATTCAAGACTATGCACGACAATAATATTTTCTTGTAACCATCAACCATATGCTACGAACAACAACAACCACCAAACGCTGGTGTGTGCATGAAAATTTATAATTCAAAGAGCCCTTTAATTACCCAAGAGTCTCCTAGAACACAACCTTCTCACAGGCATGGTTTTCCTGATTAATCATGCAAAGTGAGAAGCAGAAGATCAAGAACAAGAACAAGCAAACTCAATATGACTTAATGGCTGATGCGGTTAACCGGGTCAATCATAATTTTGATTATTCATCTAACCTACGTGTCAAGGAAAAACTTAGTTTTTCTTTATTAATTTACCGTTGAAACTAAACAAATCACTCTGAGTAGCTGTTACTAACGACTTAATATTGAGCAGCTGCGATAATGATCTGCTTAATGGCATAAACCATTGAGCAATTTTGCCGCTCTCATCAAATAAAAGTTTCAAACCTCAAAGCTATATGGCAGAACCGGAAAAATCTTTATGAATTTCTTACCATTAGAATGCTGTTTAAAACAAAATCTCACTGTACTCCATCATGAAGACGAGGAAATGCATATGCATGCCAGGGATGGACATTTCACCACCCATATCCTCTTCCACTATGGCACATGCTCCTAGATAATTAGTAAGAACAACAAAAGGCTAACAATAATAAACATAGAATCACAAGCACTTCTCCAGATATACTGCAGGAAATTCCACAAGAAAAGAAACCAAAAAAAAAAGTAAATCTACCATACTTTAGATTATTGCAGGAATGCTTATTTTAGTTCATTTGGAAGATTATTATGTTAATTTGGATAAAACCAATCACTGTTCCTAAATGGAAGATAAGGAAAAACATGATTTGATGATCACCTAATTGCACACAACAGCAGCCTGGCAGGTAGCCATTTAACACAATTCAAGCATGTGAATTTATACAAATAAATTGCCCAAGTGGATCTCTTTGCCAGTAGATGGGTAAGTTATTAAGTTCCAAGATAAAGTACTAAGCACAACCCACCAAAGCAGAAGACAAAAATGGCAAATGGAGAGATTAGAATGATGATAACATCATCAAAAATGGTACATTCTACTTCAAACAAAAGCAATTATAGTTGCCAACTATCAAAAACCAAAATGCAAGTGATTCACAACCTTGTCAACTTCCATTCTTTATGTGAAAATACTATTATTTAGTAGCCATCACTCTATGAAGTTTAAACTGTAAAGGCTGCTACACACATGCCAATTGCATAAGCCTCCCCCGTACAAAATTGAAACATCAACAGCTTTTATGTGATAGATTCTTAGGTTTCTAACACAAACTCTATAAAAAATTTTATTAAAGCAAAAGCAGTATCAACAAATGAGATTTGTTCAATCCTATCTAATTTCGAGCCATAATGACGAAAAAGTGGGTTCAAATTACGGTAAAATATTAGATATCAAAGAAACAAAAGAAAATATCAAGTCATTAGGCCTCAAAACTAGTCCTTTTTAGAAAGATACTATGATCTACACTCACATGATCTCAGCAGATTCTTATGCAAATCAATGGTTGACAACGACAAATGCAAGCATAAAAAATTAAATGCATTAGCTTATATTTTATATTTTTAAACTCGTTATCCGAAACAACTTTCAAGAAGATATAAATGCTGAAGAAAATATTACTTTAGCAACATATAGGCTACTCCGGCAGTAGATAATTCCCTAAGTTCTTCACCTTCCACTATCCATGTGCATAATAACTTATGCTCTATTGGAACTTGATACTCATTCAAAAGGCATCATTACAGACCATTATCATTCCACTAAAGTTAGGCAAACCATGTTATTTTACACAAGCGGATTAAAAGCATGCAATACGATACCGTACATCAACAATAAGATTTATTTAATGCTATTACACGCCCACACGTGCACAACACAAATTATAAAACTAATTACTCTGAAAAAGGAACACTGTATCAAATACAAGTAAGGCATTCAAAACTTTGAAAAATATGTAATAACCTCAAGCATATAATATTAGATTATTATTACAAGGACACTGCTATGCCAAAAACCCCTCCCTCCTAGATGAAAAAAAAAATGATCGTTTAAAATACTGTTAACAACAGGTAGAAATCATTCTGCCGAATTGCAACATATAAGAAATATGAGAACTAGACAATGGGCAGGAGCAATTATATACACGAAGATCGATGCATATAGCACTGAATAAAATTTTAACATATTCTTCTTGCTTTTATCCAGTATACACTCTTTCTTTTATCCTTCTTAACTTAGGGAGTCTATAAGAATCTTTTAACAAAAAATATAAAGTTAATTTATTGCTCAAAACTCAACAATCATAAGATCAATCCCAACAAAAATCCTACTAACAATATCATACCACCCTATAAATTAAGTAGTACTGGTCTACATGAACTCTTCATTATACCCTAATGAATCCGTATCAAACACTTTTTGTACACTTCACTATCTACGTGGGTTCGACATTTGGATCCTCAAAGTAAAAAATTGCCAAAAAGATGGCGTACCCGTGTCTGACACCCTATCATGAGCCCATGTAACAATAGTGCCCAATACTTCCACAACTAATTTCATATCAATACATATTAACAAGAGACCTAGAAAATCCAATAGTCAGCATCCCCTAGTATTAAGAAATATATGATGTGAATATGATGGCTTTTTATTCCAGATACGATCTGTTGGATTGACATGTATGTATGTACCCTGATAAAAAACCTAGTGTTGATAATAAAGTACTGCACCAGGACCACAGTACGGTATATGATTTAAAACACAGAAGATTACATAAGTGATTCTCGTAATCACTCCTGTACCTAGGGAAATAAGTCAACATTTTTTTAAGTAGCACCTTTTGTTCAAGTAGACTGCTTTTGTCAAATTTCAAGAGGGTTTGCATTTGTGGTCAATATTGTGATCTTAAGTTCTCAATTAAACCAGACATGCAATTTCGAAAGGACTATGTAACTAGTAGCAGGCAGATCGTTAGATAAGCTTATAGGACCGAAACCTCGTGATGATACCAGACCAAAGCAACGTTACTATTAGAACCAAACTAACAAGGATGATGAGAACAATATAATCCCAAAACTGGAGAGCAAGCAAAAGAACATCCATCGGGTAAAATGACATAAGATGATCCAAACGTTCAATCAACTCAAACAAGTGGCACTAGGCTTTTGTACTCTAGAGGCTCTAAGTAGGCTTTTACATCATCTGATGAGGCATTGCCAAAAGAAACAGTTGAGGTAACATCATTGTGTGGAGATTATCAAGCAACTATTTCGCATGGCATCACTGAACTCTGAAACGTCAATTCAGAATCAGGAAACACAACACGTGTTACTTTCAGACTTCATTTTTCGCTAACGCACAGCAAATCGAAGATAAAAATAGCAATAAAAAGAAACCAACAAGAAAAGGAAAGAAAAGAAATGACAAACAACGATGAGCAGGCAAATGGAAGCCTCCGATAACACTCCTTGAATCGGAGAAAGAGGGTTAATCCGTATTCCATTACTGCTGAACACTTAACATTTTTACGATCACTCTTTCAGGACAAAACAAATGAAAAAAGAACGGATCTGATTCATATAAAGTCATAGCCACCCAAACTATGTTGGAAGGGAAAATTTTCAGATTACAAACCCAGCAAGGGGGAGTTAAGATAGGTACAGTGACTAACCAAAACACACGGGTCTATCTCATCTCTAGGGTTTTTCTGTTGTCTGTTGGCGTTCTATTATTATAGACATACTCGGAACATTGGATTATTCTTTGAGTACAGTTGTAGGCCTCCATTAGTTGGTTTTTTGGCGGAAAAGGATAGAGAGATAGAGGAGATCTATGATTATTTCTAGGAAAGGAATAGTTGTCGCCCTCTTTTAGGTTCCATGATCCACAATATCATGCACCAGGCACCTACATACCCAAGTTTTGCCTGCTAGTCGCAGGGATGATTCGTTGGAAGTTTATAGATTGATTTTAGCTTCTACAGCTCTCTGGGGTAAAATTTCTTCGGTAAGTGGAGCAGAAAATGCAGGCATAGAAAGAGAGACAGACGATTTGGATAGCACAAAAACCAAGAATCCCAAAAATTAAACAAAAAATAAATTAATTCAGAAGAAATATTACTGATACTTAAGACTTGTGGGAGAGAGAGAGAAAAGGTAACTGACCAGAAGGTCTTCTAATGGAGGCACCCGTGCACAGGTTTTGAAGCTGCATTTCAATCTTCTTTAGAAAGGTGGTCGCTTCATCAAAAGGCCTTGAAAGATCAGATTTATATTTCACCAACATATCGCAGTAAGTTTCCTGAATAATCACAGAAGGGAAAGAAAACCATCATATATGTAATGATAATAGAAAACCAAAGGAAACTTAAAAGCAAAGAGAGAGAGAGAGAGAGACCATGAACTCGTCGAGCTCAGAATCGGCTCCCAAGCACGTTGGGACGATATTTCGCTTGTTAACATCGTTCTCTCTCAGAATATCATCTAATATACTTGCAATCTCCGGAGGTGCCCCAACCTAGAAAAGGACTAAAGATTAGAACTAGATAAAAACAATTAAAATTCTTATCCTAAAAAAATTCGAACAAAACCGCATACACTATATTTCATGAATTCCATCAGACATTTCCCATAAAATTATGGGAATTGATCGAGCAAGATAGTTTCTTTAAGAAGTAAGAAAAAGGGTTAGATCTTAAAAATGAAAAAAGAAACCAGTAGAAACACTTTATACGCAGTATAGAAAAAGAAAAGGCTTCGAGCTCCCAAAGCCAGCCGCCAACAGGAGCAGTTGGAAACTAAAAACCTTTGCGTCGACCTTTCAAGAAACCAAAATAAACCTCATTTAAAGCGGAAATTTAAAACACAACTATCAAAGCAACTGCAGCCAAAGTTTTCTCCATTCTTGTCTTTTTTTTTTTTTTTTTGTTATTTGATCTTATCTTGAAGTTCCTGCACATATGATCGACACCGTTATGTAACATCATATTTAATGAAGCAGAAGAGAAAAGGAAATAACAGTTAAAATTCTTTAAAAGCCACATCTTTTCAGTAGTTTGTTTGCACCAGAAATAGAAAGAGGCCTTTCATTTGTCTTTTTTTTTTTTTACCTTCTGACAACCAATATAAGCTTCGACCAAACAAGGATAAGAAGGGTGGGAAGCGATTTTGGCTTTCATCACGCTTGACATGTCTTCTTCTCGTTGAATTTCAGGGGTGATGGAAGCAGCTTCGGATATGGCAGAGGCAGCAGATATTAACTCGTCGGATCCAAACATGGGAACCCGATCCGAAGAGCAAAGCCAAGCTTCGTAATCAGATGGAAGGATAAGGTTTTCTGGTGACATCAACGCTTTGTCAGCATACTCTCCCGTGGAGTAGAAATCGTACATTTCATCCATGAAAGTGAGCGTTCTTTCAAGGCAAAAAAGAAAAATAAACTAATAATAAAATGAGCAAAACTTGAGAAAATCAATGATAATAGCTGAAGCTAATTGGATTAGAGAAGTAAATAGGTTTGGATGAATATTGGGTTTGGGGTAAAAATAACGGTTATGATCGGTCGGAGAATTTTGTTAATATTAACTTTTGTTTGTTTTAACTTTGAAAAGTAAAACTGAAAGACTGGATTTGCTGGAATTGGAGTGGCAGAGATGAACTTATAGTGGTGATGGGGAGTGTATTTTTAGGCAAAGATATAAAAAAAAAAAAGAGATGCTGTCCAAGCTAAGGGATGGGAAAGTCTTTGGCTTTTTTATATACTTCTTTTTTGTTTTATCTTTTTTCTAATTTGTATTTAATTGTTTACAGCACTTCCTGAAACCATGAGGGGAATATTTATTAGTATATAATTAACGTTGGAATTTTGCCTTTTCTTTTTATCTTTCCCTTTTTTTTTTCCTCCAGAGATTGTTTAATTTCATTGTTTTCCCTATATTCTTTATATTCTTCCGTTTTTCTATGGGAGAAACTAAACCTAATATTAGTACTAACCTCATTGCATTTTTAATTTGAAAAAAGAAAAGATAAATTTAACTTTATTTTAAGGAAAAAATCATCAACCAACCAAATATCTGAATGAAAAAATCTCATTATATTTAATAATTTAAACTTATAATTATTCAATAATTGACTAATATAACTCTATGAACCATTGTTGTTAATATTGTATAAGATAATGGTTCGATTTGTTTTAAAAGCAATATATGTTGGTACTAGTTATTTTAACATATTATTTTAAATTTTTTAATTTAATACAAATATATTTATAAATATACATGAATTTGTACATAATAATACTATTAATTATCTATAAAATAAATATGTAATATTTTAAAAAACCAAATCAATTAGTTTAAAAATATAAAAAATAATATCATCAATTTATCATGATATTTTAAATACTTAATATGACCATATAACATTTAAATTAGTATATTTTTAATATAAATATTAAGATCAAAACAAAGAAATGAAAAAAATAGCCTTGAGTTTATGATTATTAAACTTTAGAGAGGATTGTTTTCTTAAAAGCGATTGAAATATTTAAAAACTTTGATTTAAAAAAATATTATAAAAAAATAAGTTATCATTGAAACCCAACTTTCAAAAGTTATTTTTGTCAATTAATTTTTTTATTAAGTTAAAAATAATCAAATAACAAAAGATAAATTAAAACTAATAAAATATATTTCACATTCAAGTATCGATTAAAATAAGCTAATCTATTAAAATTCACAAAAACTAATCAAAACTAATAAAAACAATCAAAAATGTTCAGCATCAAATCTGATAAAAAAATATCTTTAAATGTATTGTATTTTAATATAATTGAAATATATTAATCGATACGATCGATATCAAAACAAAATTAACAAAATTGCTATGAACTCAACTTCAATCTTATTTTATTTTTTTTACTATTTTTTAAATTTAAATGTAAATAGGATAAACTTCATCGAAAGTTGTTTGTTAGTTTTTGATTGTTTACGAAAGTTTAGGGTAAAGAAAGATTTTTCACTTTAGTGGTTAGTGCAAATGGTATGTTTAAAATTTATGTTCAATTTATAAATTATTCATAAAAAAATATTTTAATTTTATCAAGTTATCCGATCTCTTGACAAAACTTTTGTTAATTTTACCCCTTACAAAGTGGGATGTTGATATTTTCAATAATACTATTATAATATTAATATAAAATATGCATTTGTATTTTATAAGTATATCACTTATAATTATTTTTATATAATATTATAATTATTTAATTAAAGTAAAAATTTATGCAATAATTCATCATTTATAAATATAAATTTTACATAATTTTGAAATATCATGTATTAATTATTTATAATCATTTATGATATGCTCTAATCTTTAAGGGTCTTAAATGATTGGAGTACATTAAAAAAGAAAATTACTCCTCCTAGATTGCAATATTTCAACAATAATGCATTGTTTTTTTTTTTTTTTTGTTTAGTAAAATTCGAAATAGATAAGTTATTTAATCTCTTAAATTAAAGTAAAATGTACTGTACTGACAGTCTAAAATAAGTAGTTACAAGTCATGTATTCAAATTCGAAATAAATAAACTACTCAATTCTTCAAGTCAAGGTAAGATATGTCATATTTGATAGTTTAAGATAAGTGACTGCAAATCATACATTTGAGATGATCTCAATAAATGATCACTGACAATACTCGAATTCAAGACTTCTTCATAGAAAAAAACGAGCTGATTAAATCAATCACTATTTTTTTTTTCTTTTTACTTTTCTCTACTTTGTACTTTAGTTAAAATTTACTTTTATCTACTACTGCTACTAATGCTCTTACAATTAAGATTCACTTTTTATGCTGCTACTATTATTGATCTTTATAATACAAGAAATACGATATTAATACCAAACTTTTATGTTATAATACAAATAATTCTAGTACAAAAATATTTTAATGCTTTTATACATATTTTAGTTGCAAAAATATTTTACAATATAAATTATAAAAATTGTTTCACAAGTTACTGCAAATAATAATATTTTAAATACTCTTTGTAATAATTATTTATAATTACTATAACATGTAACTTGTTTGAGTCTTATAATGTAATACTATTTATGTTATGAAAAATACTTATTTTACAATATTTATATAATGAATTACTTGAAAAATATACACATTAAAGATGAAATTTTGTTGCAAGAGCAATTGAATAGTGGTTGAAGAATTATTAAAAAAAATAAAAAAAAAGGTAGTTGAAGAAATAAGAATTCCACTTGGCAGGGCTGGAATTGGGAATAGTGTTGCCCAACAGGCAACAGCCCGATGTACGGAACCCGATCATGTAGGAAAAATAATTGCAAATAATTGCACGGCCCAAGATTTCCTATGGGATATAATACCTGCTTTTTCTTTCTTTCCATTCTTGATTTTACCCAACACCAGGACGAATCTTTAATCATTTTTTACTTTCAGCAAAATTCATGGGATCCTCTTTTGTTCGGTTTTTCTGTAATCCAAAATCTGGGATTACTCTCAATTCCTCAAGCCTCGAGGACATCATAGTTCATGCTACAACTTGATTAATAGTTTCATATGTAGTTTCGTACTTTGGTTATATATATATATATAATTTTTTTTTTTCAGCGGCTGAAACTGAGTTGAAGGTGCGAAAAAGCCAGAAATCTGGAGTGGTGGTCATGAAAAAAGGGGGAGAAAGAAACAGGAAGATACAGGAAGAATAGGGTAGAAAGGGACGCAATAAGGAATAACAAGAGTACGCACTACGCAGTGGGGTCCGAGACCTTCTCTTTCAGGAGCATAACATCTAGCACCAAGCGTGCGAGCTAGCAGGGCGATAGTCAACTTCATTACTAATAAATGCAATGTGTTACTACACTTACGGTTCCGAGAGATCAAATAACTTCGACCAAAAAAATGTCGTAGTAGTAGAGCCTGTAGATTAACTCTCTAATCGGTGATAATCAATATGTGTAGATACTTCGTTTTATTCAAAAATTGTTCGGGAATCAAAAACAGATTTTCAACTATTAATTGGATTCGATTGGAAAGTTTTGAGTTCTACAGTAAAATTTTAAATTTAAATTTAAATTTTAAATTAAATTAAATTTAAATTTTTTTGTTTAATTTTACTTGTTAAAAAAAAGTCAAAAGTTCAAAATTTTTAATTGTAATTTGATTTTGATTTTTAAATTTAGTTTCGATTTTGTCATTTATTTTAGTTAAAAAAAAAGTAAAAATAACAATAAAAAAGAATAAAAAAAAGTCACGAAACCAAAAGGGAAAGAATAGATTTGATTTTGAATAATCTTTTAATCTCAATCTTCATGAAAATGGAATGTTATAGGAAATTAAAATCCTTGATTGATTTGATTTAGTTTCCAAATCTAAGAGAGATTTAATCCTTGTAAGAATAGACAATCAACTACAAAAAGAGGATAGAGAAAGGATTATGAAAAAGCAATTAATACATTTGAATTTTGGAAGAGTTCTAAGTTTTTGTTTTTTTGAATTTTTAAAGTCTTACTCGAGTTTTTGGGATTTTTAGGTTTTTAGGTTTTAGAAACTCTAAGAGGGGTTTTGATTTTGATTTCCTTTTTGATAAATCTCTAGTATTGCTTGAATTTTGAGAATTTGAAATATCTCGAAAAAATTGTTGTTTTTTGGTTTGAGGTTGATTTTCTAAGATTTGGGAATTTTGATTGGTTTGGATGTTCTGAGATTGTTTTGATTCAGGGATTTTGATTGTGGAGTTTGTTTTTTAATTTGAGATTTTCTTTTTTGGATTTTTTTCATTTATGGGAACTTTCTTGGATTTTTTTTTTTTAGGTTTTTTGGGATTTTTATGAACTTTTCAATGAAATTTTAAATTTTTTGATGATTTTCACGGTGGTCGGAGGGGACTAAGGTGGCCATTTTGTGGGTTCATTAGTTTTTCTGCAAAAGGTTTAAAGTTTTTGGTGGTCGATTGAACTTCTTGGTGCCAGAAACTGGATTTTTTTGCCAGTTTTTAGTGTTGTTGAAATTCCTGATGACTTGGTAGAAAAAAGGCAGAGAAAAGTTATTTTAGAGAGAGGGGGCAAGGGCAAGTCTGAGAAAAAACAAAAGAGTTTGGCTTTTATACTTAGCCAAAACGATGTTGTTTTAAAGACATTATGACCTACATGAACTTGTGACTCGTGTGAATATCGGTGTTTCAAACCTAACCCAATCGCAAGTTTTTGTTTTGTTTTTATTTTATTTTATTTTATTTTTATTTTTTATTTTTCGTATTTAATTTTTACATGATATATTTTGAATGATATGATTATATATTTTATTTGTATGATCATATTTAATTGCATAATTATTAATATATTTCTTTGCATGATTATATATCATTTTGTTTGTGTGATTCATTTTTGCATGATTATTAATTAATTTGCATGATATTTTATCTTAATTGCATGATAATTAATATATTGCATGATATTATATTATTATTTGCATAGATTATTTTGCATGGTAATTTTTGCACGATAATTTTTATTTATTTTATTTTTTAATTAAAAATGGGTTTTCAAAAAGAATAAATAAAAATTTTCAATCCTACCAAATTATTAGAGAATTTAAATATTTAATTAAGTTTAACCAACCTATTGGAGAACTTAATGAATTTTTAAAAAAATATTTTTTAAAAATCATACCAACAAATTGGAAGATAATTCTTGACAAAAAATCTTAC